CTATTTACCTGCAGCTGATAAGGTCTTGCTTCCCCTTCCAAGCCCTTCTGGGACATATGTAACTAGCCAAACCACCTTTCACTTTCCTGCAGTGACAGGCAAAATCATTTATTTTTGCCTCAGTGAATGTGCCCAGATTGAACACACCTGCTGGCCTCCAGTTCACCTTCCCTTCACAAGACCCACCTCATTACTTAAGAAGTTAAGYAGTTGTATTTGTGAAAAAGAGGTCTAGGGTGGTTTATATGAGGTCCTTTGGCCTCTGCCAAAAGTGCAATAAGGGAGTGTTGAGGATACCCACAAGAGGTTCTTCAGATGGTTAGGAAGCCAGAGTCATTATTGCCTTTATAGAAGATAAGGACTGCAAAGCCCAATCCTGAGGTGAAAGCTCTGCTGTGGGTTCAGTGGAAGCTAAATCAGAGGTATGATGAAGCAGTAGCTTCTCTCTCGTGCCCGTCTCCCTGCAGTAATACTCCCTGCAGATGAAAAAGTTCAGAGGAAAGTAATGTTAGGATTGCTAAAGGGCTTTTGCAAAACAAAAATATTGGATTGAATTTTCTCCTTGGTTTCTTCACTGTCATGCAATAATGGAGTGAAGAACTCCARTGATTTTGTTTAAAATAATGAGAAGCATTGACTTTGAGCAATTCTGTCATAAATTTGCGGTTTGCTTTTCCCCCTGCATGAGCAGTTTGTGATAGTAGATATAATTTATTATGGCAAACCACTAGCATTGATGCATTAATCAAGAGAAACAAGTGGCCCCTTTGAAATCTCCTGCCCGCCTAGAGAGAGTAATGGGGTTATAAATAGAGAAAGAACAAATATTGACTCTATGAAATGTAAAGGTAGCTCTGGGTTCTCCCAACAGTCTTCAGACTATATTTGCTTTTCAAGATGAATGTGTAATTTTTCACAAGCAGTCCTGTGGGGTTTTTGTTTGTTTGTTTGTTTTTTTTAATCTACCTAAGGAGAAAGACATGAGCTTTCATCTCAGTGCTCTCCTTAGGTTCTCAAGAAGTTCCTGGTTGGTTTTGAAGGAAAGATTCTGAGTTTTCAGATTGAGGTACGTGTTCCCAAGGTAACAGTGATCTTTCAGACTTAGGTAAGTGCTGAAGGAACTGCCTGCATTAGTCAACGAGTTATCTGTTTAATGGTGATTCTGGTGAGATGCTTTGGGAGAATGTGTGCTTTGGAAAGCCAAGAAAAAAAGACACGTCTTGACATCCAGATCCAGAGAAGACTCAAGCAGACCCAAGAATTTACTGACGGAAAGGCCTCAGGGGATATTTACTGTACCTAATCTCGGTTTGTCACACATTCTGCTCCCCTCTCCAAACTCGCAACGTTTCACACCGTTAGCTGTGTCCTACACATCTAGTTTAATAAAATCTGCTTGAGATTCATTTCAATGTTAGATTCAAATTAAATAATTCAAATTAAAAATGTTCTGCACAATCAGAAAACTGAAAGACTTTCGTGCTTCACAAATCCTGACCTAAGTCAATGCTGCAATCCCTTCTATAACCTTAAGAGTGCCAGGCATCCCGTAGGGAGCTCAGTACCCACTGGAGACACAATTTATGGTCAAAACACTATGCGAASCTGCAAAACAAATCACATCTTAAACTCTCAATGGTGTGAAAATAACAGGGGTTCCAAAGGAAATTTAGTACCCTTTTGATTCTGAACATAGGGCCAGTATCCACTAATTGTAGCACTAGCAAAACTGCCAACAGACCAGTTGGTATTTCGTATATCACCTGTACCCTGATAGAAATCATTGGCACCTGTCTTCTTCTCTCATTAAGATTATATAACAGCAATTTATCCTTCAGGGCTGGAATGCAGAAAAGGAAAAATGAAGTGGAAGAAAATAGGTGTGCAGGAATGTGCTGGTGATGTGCCATGAAATCCATGCCCTTTGCYGACAGCGCTCCAGGGGCCCAAGGCAAAGGTGAGCACATGGAATCACACGTGAAGGGCAGGACACACAGTTGGTCTGGCAGGGATAACCACAGGTGATTCCAGCAGGACTTAGCTCCAGAACGACCGCAGCCCAGGGACGTTGTGACAGAACGAGATGGACATTTTCCAGTCCATGACCTCTCCAAGCCCCATGCTAGGATGCTTTGTGCAAAGAACAGCTCTCCCTCTCCTCTCTGCTTGCTCTGCAATAATGTGAAAAATGGAAATGTGGCTGTTTGATGTCTGTATTAATGAACAGCTCAGGAAAGAGTAGGTTTTAGCAAAGCTAGGGCAAAAGCAGGCTCTGAGGCACTTCCCTCAGAAAGACATCACGGTGCAAGCCAGGAAGACTCCCCACGCCATGGAGTCTCCTCTGTGCTTCCAGCTACCTTGCCGGGGCCTTCTCAGGAAACCCTAAGAAGAAAAGAACCAGACAGCAGCACCTCCTGGCAATAACGGCCCATTGAAGGCCTGAGTGATTTACTTTGTAGTCTTTCCTCCTCCCAGGCTGACTTTTGGGTGATTCCTTGAGGAGCAGAGCTCACTCACAGGCTCCGCACCTGCTGTTACGATGGTTTGAACCAGAAAAGCGCAGACCAGAGGAGGAGAGACGGGTCTATGCCAGACTCTTAGGTAACCGGCAGGGAAGGAGCCTCGCAGCTGAGGTAACACATTTCAAAGTATAATTTTCCAAAGGAGTTATCAAAAGCAATGTTTCCACTTCCAAATCCAACTGAAACCAAAGCGTGCCAAATCCTGACGTTTGTACTGAGCAGGTGCTCATTCCCATTTCTGAAGGAAATTACCTCGGTGTTTTCTGCACCCCCAGAGAGGAGGAGCTGAGGAAGGCCCTCAGGATTCCCCATTTCTTTTGGAATCTGATCTCTAAGGACACCCAACTGCCTCTCCTCAACCCCAAACACACAACATAGCACATCCTCAGAGGAGGTCAGTCCCACGTAGGTGTCTCCTTCTAAACAAATGCACAACAACAGTAATAGCAGGTGTTACTGCCTTTTACTCTGTTTCCACTAAAAAGGTATCCAAGTTCCCCCAGGCAACATGAAAATTCATTGCCTTCTTCACACCCCTCTGACACTCACCAGACAGCTGTGTTGGGGTACTGTGATACGGCCCTGGGTAGTTAGAAGAAATTTAGGAATCTGTGACTTGAGAGTGTAACACAACATGTTTCTAGTAGGTACTAGAGGCTACTGACAGCCTCCATCCTGGTGTTGCAAGGATTGATATTCTCACCTACCCAAGTACCACATCCCCAGCCTCATAGTGACATGAGGTAGTAAATCTACAGAGCACATTTTAGATGCAGGCCAACTGGCCAGTTCAAGCAGCTGCCCATGTTCATACAATCTGGGTAGTAACCCTGCCCTAGTGCTTGAAACAAGCTTTGGTGTTCCTTCATTTGAGATCAACGTCAGACAAATCCAGCAAGATATGTTTGAGTCCTCAAGTAGCTGTCATGAGCTTATCCTGGATCAGCCCTGGTAGAGCTTGTCAAGAAGCTCCACACCAGAAGGGTACAGAAGTATATTTCCCTTCCCCGTCTAGCCCAGAGTACTATAGTGTGAGGAGGTCACAAACCTTCAGATATGTGTGATTACAACGAAGTTGAGCTAAAGCACAAGCAACAAAAACAACCTGCTCCAAGACACAGAAAGAGGACAGCAAGACACAGGCCGGCTCTCGTATCACAAGTCAGTCTTAAACATCAGCCTTTTTCCTCTGACAAGTAGTACCATCATTTGATGAAATCATTAGCATGGAAGTATGTATCTATTTAGGTCCAGGAGGGATTAGATTCATCAGTGGTCTCAGAGTGAATATGTTGACAAACATCTGGAGAACATAACAATGAGGCAGGCTGGTCACCAAAACGCACACCCCATGCCAAGATGTGCTTGTAGAGATGGAGAACCTGAAAAAATACCTAAGGAAACAGCTTTCTGCAAGTTGAGCTCAGTCTGTAAGTACAAATGCATTGGTGTTCCTTAAATATAGAGGGTTGGAGTTCTCCTGACTGGATACGGGCTAATTCAGACATGCAAATCAGTGTTGTCTTGATGCCAGGGTGCCAGAACAGAGCAACCAGGTGCAGGGGCTGGTGCTGGTCCCAAAAGGTCTCCTCAAGTGAGGGTCAATTACAACAGCCTGGGAATCCCCAACTGGATGCAGTTCCAGTCTGCAAGTTGATCTTGCTGAGGTGCAATCAGCTAAAGGAGATGGGAACATCTCTCCTGCATTGAAGGATGCAATCCTCTCCTTTAAAAACACTAACAGGCACAGATCTTGGGAAGAAGATCTTGGGGATTTTGTTCAGGTAGTGCACTTAGTGTTGGTGGAGAATTTCTCTCTCTTTCTCTCTTCCTCTCTTTTTTCTCTGTCTCTTTTTCTTCTTTCTCTTCTATTTCTTTCTCTCTCTCTTCCTCTCTCTCTCTCTCTCTCTCTCTCCTCTTTCTCTCTTTCTTCCCCTCTTTCCCTCTCTTCTCTCGGCCTTTTTTTGCTCTTTCTCTTTTATTTTAAGAGTTAGACTGCCCCCTTTTGTCACTGTTCTATTAACTCCTTTCTGCGAGACAGCAGACTACCAAGCGACACCAGGGCTTGTCTTGCGCCCGCCCCACCTTGCCCAAGCCTGCGGTTGGGACACCAAGCAGCCTGTCACGAGCTGGAGAACAGCTCTTGCCAACGCGAGGGTCACACACGAAGTCTCCTGCCCCGTTAGATGGGGCCGGAGGGAAGCCCACAGGCAGCATGACGGATCTAACTACTTGATGAGGCCAGGCGTATTTTGAAGGGAATCCCTCACAAGGTTAAACTGCGGAGACTTATTTATAAATCTGCCCTCCCTGCATTTAAACTCGGCCTCTCTTTTGCCTCTATAGCCACTAATTAAATCTAGAGCGKACCCCATGCCCACAAGGTCCCGTTTCGCCCTCGCGGGTAGTTTGGCCCGCCGCGCTCGCCGTAGCGCCGGGCGCGCCTGCGCTGGCGGGCCGGAAGTGGCGGCAGTCGCCATGGCAGCGGCCTGCGCGAGGCTCCGGGAGCGGCCTGCGGCCTTGGCGTCCAGTGAGGACGGGAYGGGGAGTCCTGCCTGCAAACGGGGGGTATTTCCTTTAAAATCTGTTTCAATCACTTTTTTCTTTTGCGATTTCAGGGTATTTTTCTCTCTCGGGGTACCGAAGGAGCGGCGATGCGGAGCCGGCCAAGTTCAAGCCGCCGCCGAAGCCGGTTATCGTTGACAAGCAGCGGCAGGCGGCCGAGAGGAGGTGGGGAGCGGCGGGGCCCAGCACGAGCCGCCGCGCGCTGCCGGAGGCCCCGGGGCACCGCGGCGCGGCAGCGCTGCTGAGTGAGAGCAGCCCGTGCAGAAACAGGCTGAAAATACCCCCAGATCCCGTGGCCYGCAGTTCCCCGAAGCAGCAAAGCAGGGAGAACTTCATAGCAGTGGCCACGCTGCGGATTGGGGAGCGATACGGCAGGTTTTCAGCTGTTAATGATGCTGTTTGCACTAGCAGCATTGTAATGGTTTTATTTCCAGTTGCTGCTGGGGAGAGGGGCCCTGTATCTGCCTTGGGCCTTAGCTGTGTGTAACCACATGTGATTACCACCAGTAATGACCTTTCTGAGACTGCTCTTGCCCATTTGTGTTTGTATTGCCCGTTGGAGAGCTATCTCAGGAAGGAGAGCAAGGCCACAGGGTTTATACACCTTTACAGAATATGTAATATGCTACATGTGTATCACGTAAGCAGACAAAGAATGAAAGAGTGTTAAAAATCACAGCCGTGGATCCTTCCACTCTGCTGCTTCGCACCTTCACCWCAGATCTGTTTCTGCAAATAACTTTTAGAAGTGAAGAGTTGCTGTGACTGTCCTAAGAAATGCAGCCTGAGAGGCAGTGGCTGGACGGAGCAAGGAACTAACATTTAAGTAACATTTTATTCTCCTGGAAAGTTGTACTCCTGGRTGATTTTGCATGAAGATAAAGCGTGGCCCTGAGGTGGTTTGTGGTCTGTGCAGCAGCCTGGAGGCAGCAGCGCTGACCAGGAGCTCTGTGTTGCCACATGCTCTGTGCTCCCCTCAAAACCCCTTAGGTTCRCAAGGCAGGATGGCCTCAGTGCTGCTTTTCCCAGCTCCTGAGGTCTAGGTTTATTTATTGCTAGGTTAAAAAAATAAAGCCCAATAAAATYCCTTGGATTTGTTAAAAATTCAGTAACTGTAGTAACTGCAATTTATCACTCTGATAAGGTAACGTGTAGAGGTGGTTAACACAGATGATTTTTCTTTCACTTTTAAGCCACATATTTGCACTTCCCAAGGAATTTTTATGCAAATGCTTTTTGTGCTGAATTTTTGTGTGTGTTTGTGTTTCTTGCAGATTCTTAAGCCCTGAATTTATACCTCCCAGAGGGAGAACAAACCCTCTTAAGTTCRTTATAGAAAGAAAGGACATGATACAGAGGCGAAAAGTCTTCAGCATCCCGGAGTTCTATGTTGGTCAGTAGTAGCAATAGGGTTTTTGTAATTCTCTCAAAACTCTTCAGGAGATGGGTAGTTAAAAAGTGCCGAAAATGTTATATCAGCTACTGGATCAACCAAGGCATGTTTTCTTACGTAGTGGTTCATATTTTAGTTTCATATTTACATCCAACTTGTAAGAAATGTGTTAACTTGTTATTATAATGTGAATTTTATGTCCTGGCACTTTAGGACACAGTTAACCAATACACCTCAAAGAGGAAGACAGATTATCCATGTTCAATTTGAAAAAACAAGGACTAAGAGATAAATAGCACTGGTTTAAAGGTTAAGATATTTTGTAGTTAGCCTTTATTCATAGCTAACATTTATTAATTCGGGGTTTATTAAAAGTTTGTTGTGTTTCTGGCAGATTTATTGGAAGGTAAAATGTTTTCAAAATAAATGGTGTTATGTGCACGTGGTCTGACCTCTTTCCTGTTGGGAAATGTCTCTTTGACGAGGCCCTTGCTTTGGCAGGCAGCATCCTGGCTGTTACTACCGCAGACCCCAACGCCAACGGCAAAACCAGCCGCTTTGTTGGCATCTGCATTCAAAGAGGAGGAAAGGGCCTCGGCGCCACTTTCGTGCTTCGCAATGTCATAGAAGACCAAGGTGGGTGATTCTTGTGCTAGAAATGTTAAGTGAARWACGTTGATGTTGTACATGGGATATCTAGTGCAGAGGTTTAGTAAGCACCCRAAAACGGCAGGTTTGCCCAAGAAGATTCATACAACTCAGCAGTCAATGTCCTGCATCGRAGGCTGTGCATCTGGGCTGCAGCACTTAATGATTATTACAATCAATAATGAAATAAGCATTTCATCTCAGTGCATGTTTTCTTACTTCATCACAATCAGTGGCAGATCCACAACTTATGGTTTTCATGGAAAGTAGCCCCTTGTGTTGATTTTAAATGTMCATCCTAATAATTTCACCGGATGCCCTCGGCGTTTTGCTCCTCCTGGTTAACTTGTTTCCACTGCAGTAAACCTGCTGGCCTCAGAGCAGTCTTGGATTTTAAACTTGCTTTAAAAGCTTTAGCAAAGAGTGCTGCAAGAGGGTCTTGGGATCCAGATTTCCATGGGCCTCTTGGTGCCAGGAACAGAGCAGTTAGACCTCCTGTAGCTAATCAGGTTCTCACCAGCTTCATTTCTAACCTAAGTGTATATATATGTATAACTGGGGGTAGAAATGCTGATATTGTGAGAAAAATATAGAAGAAGGGATGTATGTGTGTCTGTATCATGGATGATGATGAGTTTTAAAGCTTGTTATTTAAAATCCAAGCTTGTTTTCTGAAATTCCACCTTGACTCTCAGGCCTTTCTGTTTTGGAGACTTGACTTATAATAGAAACATCTACCTACAGACAGGATGTGTATGGTCAGTCATGTGTGCAGCAGCACTGAGTAAAACCCAGTATACAGGGGATGTAAACACTGAATAAACGTGAATTTGCAGTTCCTTAAACCAGCCATTCTCTTTAAGGTGTTGAAATCTGTTATGAACTGTACAATCCACGGATCCAGGAGATAACGGTTCTGAAATTAGAGAAGAGGCTGGATGACAACCTCATGTACCTGCGAGACGCCCTCCCGGAGTATAGCACTTTTGATGTGAACATGAAACCTCAGAGTTATTTAGACTCTGAAGAAGTTCCTGTAAACAAGGTAGGAGCTTGATACTGTAGACTGCAAACAGGGGGAAAAACCAAGGAGTTGTTTTGTATTTGACTGATATGGTGCTGAGTTCTTGGCTGCATTAGTTACCTGGGTGGAGAGGGCAGCTTTTGGCACAACTGTAACGTGGAGGAACTTCACCGCTTGCATTGATTTAAGGCTTATGTAATTAATCAAGACAGGTTATTTAAGACTGGAGCAATTTAAGGACAGCATGACAGACATGTGGGCTTGACTTTAACAAGGACTTCTTAACTAAACTACTGACCAACTCGTCTGTTTTCTATTTATTTTCTTTCTGGTAGAAGGGCAATTGTGGAAGCTTTTATTAAGCTCAGAATCAGTCAAAATTCTGGTCCCATAATACTTTTGGTTTTTTAACACCTTTCACCCTAGCTACAAGTAAGAATGAAACCCAAACCCTGGTCAAAACGATGGGAAAGGCCAAAATACCGAATAAAAGGAATAAAGTTTGAGCTGCCTGAAGAAAAAATGAAAGAGGCACAGAAATGGAACAAGCCCTGGCTGGAGTTCGATATGATGCGTGAATATGATACTTCAAAAATAGAGGAAAAAATCTGGAAAGAAGTGAATGAAGAGCTTAAAAAATAGTATTTTTTTTTTCAACCTAGGAATTACCAAGAAAATTAATACACTTCCTTTGAATCCCATGTCTGGGTCTTCAGCTGTTTTGTATATATGTAGGCAAAATGTACAATAAAGTTAACCTTTCCAGAAAATTATGGCATGTGGCAAACTTTTATTACTGAACATTCTTTTTTTTATTTCTGAATCACTACTTTTGTAACAGAGTATCCTTCCTATTCATCCTTTCTCCAGCAAGGAGAAGGTTTAAGTTACAGTGACTCTAACTTACATCACTGATTCTCAGTTTGATTATGTTGACACTTCTGAGKACGTCCAGAGCTGCTCTGTTAGGCTTAGGTTGGTAAATTCTTTTTCCCTTTCCCCAATCTCTTTAAGGGTTTCTCTAGGATRTTTGTTTTCTGTGACATTGCAAAGAACTACATGCTCTCAAACTCTATAAACACTTTTTTTTGAGGAAAAAAAAAGACCATAATATAGAGGATGTTACTTCCACTAGTGAGACTCTTATGACTATGATTTGGATTTGCATCAAACAGAGCTACTCTTATTGGGTCAGAAAGGGGTTCTGGGCATGGCTCAAGTTACTGTTTGCCTTGCTCCTGCTTCCTTCACTTTACCCCTTCATCTTTCTGCCTCTGTTCTTTCTATGCCAAAGCAGTAACRGCTATTCCCTACTTCTAAAACAGTTTAAGTAATGTTAAGTAACATGTTTAGAGCTACCCTGCAATAGAGTATTTATTACATTAGTCAGCACTGAGGCCCCCAACAGAACTGCTCTTATTTCAGAGAAGACCAAGGTAACAAAGTCACATGTGTGCAGAGCAGCTGCTCCACAGTTCCTGGCAACACTTCATGAGGAAAAGCAACAGAAATTCACATTTAGTAAAAGAAGGGAGTTGAAGTTTGTAACTGTCCCAGGAAACCTCAGATTACATAAGAATTAAGTGATTCTTAAGGCTAAAGTAATGATAAATTACTCAATTACTTGAGAATAAAAGTTGGTAGAGAAACTATAGGCCCCCCTGGTAGTTGCTGCAAGCTTGGGGAAGAATCACCAAGGTTTAACAGGAAGGTTAAAGGCCTGTGGTCTTAAGAGAAAATTAGTGAACTCTCTCCTTGCAACTTCACCCAAAGTACAGAAACGTTTCCTTGAGGACACCTTCTTCCCCCATCAAACAACATTCTTGTAACACATTAAACAGCTGCTAAAAGAATCACAGACTAAACAAAATATTTTTATTTAAGAAATAACAAAAAGCAAAACACTTATTTTAAAAATTTTAGACAAARAGTGGCTTGTATCAAAGTTATTTACAATTAAAATATTTTACAAAAATATAGAATATGTTAAAACATCAAAAACCACAGGGAACAAATCTGCAAGCGTTCAAATCTACTCCCAGAAGACTTGAAAAAAAGATACAAATGTACATCAGACTGGTGATTAATTATACAGTATATTTTTTATAAATATAGAGCTATAAAACATACTGAAGTGTTATCTGATGAAACAGGACTTGGCAAATCTTTTCAGGAAGCAGAAGGATGACTCGCCTAGAGTATGAGTTGCAGAAGTGTTCCTGTGCTTCTCCTACTCAAGAGATTCCCAGGCTGCTGCAAGCCTGGTAAAACATGATGCGGTAGCCCAGGCATGTGCACAGAAGTCCAGCCTGTGCTAAGAGTCCTTAGCACAAGACTCCATCCAAGGGACTTGGGATGTGATCTTCACTTCAGCTCATACATTAGGTCTTCCCCAGACCTTCTCCGGGSTAACTTCTTACTTCAGAATTCACCTGTGAAATTCCCTATTTGCACACCGAGGGAAGCACAAATGCTAAATCACTGGTCTTTGGTTCCCCAAGTTTATTATTCAGGGTCAAAATCCCTGTATCTTTATCCATTCTTTTTTCCCCCCCCACCAAAGACAGTTTCATGATGACCCCACCAAAACGACTAAAATCTCTGTGGACAAGTTAGAACCCAATGATTGCTGAGACAAAAAAAAGTAGTATGCAGCAATATTTTGGAAATACCTTCTGAAGTTGTCAGCTCATTCACAATACAATGATTAACTTCACAGATACTCCRATGTTTCCTGTAATCCTTCCAAAAGGATAAAAGCAATAAAGCACTTCCATACATTTCAGAGGGCTTTAAACTCCCCATAAGGGCTCCTTTAACTCATGAGCCAGATGAAGACAAACCTGGTAAAAACTGCTAGTGCATTTAACAACAGAAAGGTGAAGCCAACTGCTCCCCAACAGATCTTTGAGGCAGGGTCCATCAATTAAATTGAATATTAACTACCTTAGCATGAACACCAGGCTTGCTTYGATAATCTAAGTATTGTTTTCTTTAAAAAAAAAAAAATTATTTTCCAATCATGGATTTAAGGTGCTCAAGTTTGTACTCTTCAATAAAGTCTTCGACAATATGCAGAGCATTGACTTTAACCAACAGAACAACAACATCTTTTGTTTCATCCCTGCAAAAAGGGAAAAAGTCAGTTTACTAACATATTTTGCATTTATCTTTCAAGCATTTTTTTTGGTAATTAAAATATCTTTCTTCATTAGCGAGGTTATCTTTCCTCGATTAGTTATTAGGTGACCTTGGCTACACTAAGTAACACTATCCAAAACTCCAAGTCTCAAGCTACCACGTTACACAAGAAAAGCACAAGTTTTTCCATTTTTTACATTACAAATTGTATGGAGTCTAAAAGTGATCTATCTAGAATATTCAATAACCTAATAGCTACGCTGTTTGTTAGTGTTTCTTCTTGATTTGGAAATGTCAAAACACAGAGAAATGCATCCTTTTTGGAAAGGACACATTACAATTCTCTGTCACTACAGAGTATTTTCAATTCTCTATCACTAATTTTCTGACAGTAGCATCACAACATCTCTGACTTTTTGTCACCAAAGTCCTGCATTTAATTCCTGCCCAAGTCTTGTCTTAAAAGAAGCACACACACGCACAGAAGGAAATTGTGTATACATTATTAAATTGGATCGTTCTCTGGCAGTTTATCTTGCCATAAATACATGTCTGTGATAAAAGCACCATTTAAGTATAAAGTTTGAGACATAATGAATTTTAGAAATATTTGACACAAAGCATATGAAAAAGGGCTGTGAGCTGCTACCTGAGGTTATTCTTGTGCAGTGTGCGAGCGCACTGCAACAAATGCTGGCTGAAGTTCGTTAGCTGGGGAAGAGTTGATCYGCTTTTAAGATTCTGGAACCATCTTTGTGGGAGGCAAGACACCACCTTTTCAACCAAAGCATATTTGGAAAAAAAAAAATAAGTAAATAAATAACAAACACATAACCAAGTCATACCACCTCAYCTGAAGGACTTTTCTTTTAGTGTGTTTAATATTCATAGCATTGTGGAGTTTTATTTTGCTTTTAAACTAAGCCAAATACCATCATTACAAGAAGCGACTCTTAAAAAACTTATATTCTGGAATAAACACCAAGCAGTAAGAATTTTTACTCATCAAGGTCATACAAATTTTTTAGAGTGTTGAATGATTACATTGCACTTTCAGTCTAAACCTTTCTTTGTGCAAGCACCTTCAGTACAGCACCTTTTCCAAACGTACATAAAACCTTTTACCTTATTACATTTTTCTGTGTTATCTGGCCCCGGCGGTGTGTTTAAGAGGTTCAGAAGGAGGTAACGATTCAGCAACTTGCTCAGTCCTAAATCACAGACTGTATCTTCTGGTACAATTCCATCCCACAGAAGAATATTGGAGAGCAGCTGCATTAATGAAGAAAAATAGACTATGTATACTAAAAAGTATAGTCCTGTGTTTTAAAAGAAAATAGTATGAGGTCTATCCAATTCAGTTACAATCAATTTAAAATAAAATTTACTCCCCACAGACTTACTGTAACCCTGTTACTTACTGTAACTGTATCTATTTGTCAGGTAACCACTATTAAGCCTTATATAGTAACTATATGTGAATATGAACTGTATGTTCATATGAGTATGTAACTTCCTGAGACAGGGAAGAACACTTTGCCCTTGAATAGATCACTAAAGCTAAGGCCCAAATACACAAAAAGGCTTTATTCTTTCCACAGAAGTGCTGGCRGTCAAACCTGAAAGCAGGGAAAAAGAGCATTAAGACAAATCCTTGCAAGAAAAAGGGAACAATAACAAGTGAGATGCACTTCTAAGAGAAACTTAGAGAGAGTGCAAGGCGGGGAGGGCGGGGCGGAAAAAGCTAGCAAATTAAAGGTACAGAGCCAAGGGCCAGAGAAACACAAAAGAGATTTTTGCGTGTGCTTTATTTCAGAAACTTTTTTTTCTTCATCTCTTGCCTATTTATTCCTCGTAATTCTTGTCATTTTTGAACCATGTGCAGGAAACTTGACTATTTTTGCCCCTAGCTCAGAAGAGATAAATTGCAAAGTAATTGGTAAACTCGGGATGTTTTACCCCACGGTCACAGAATATCATCTTTATAGTCATACTCAAAATACACTCAAAGCATCAYATCTTTATGCACTTGAGTATTTTATAGTACATTTCTATTTAACTGCATGAGCTAATAGTATAAATCCAAATAAAGAAGAGCATTTCCACATCAGTAAATCAGTAAAATACAGAGCATGGTAACAAGCAGTGCATTTGAGCCCCAAGGCTGCCTGTTAAATCCGTACAAGGGAACTACAAGGGAAATAGCAAGACAGGGACACTGCAATCCAGCATCTGCGTTTTCCATAGAATCTTTCTTGGTTCAGACCAACCAGTACTCTCCCCCAAAAAACATGCTCAGGAATTGTTTTTTATACACACACGCACACATATTTTTTCACATGAAAATGTATTTCCTGATCAAAAAATATTAAGTAAAATGATTATCAAAGAAAAATTGTGTGCATTTTCTTTACCTTAACAGCTGACCAAAACCGTCTTTCTTGGAATTTTGAACATGGAGATAATTTGTCTTCCACTGCACTGGTCACAGAAAGAAGAAAGGTAAAATAGATGTTTAGTGGGTTTTGTTTTGTTTTGTTTTTTTTTTTTTTTTGACAAGCCAGACAGATAACTGATTTCTTAGATAGCAATGAAGATTTGTTTGGGATTTTTCAGCATTGATAAGCGCAATCAGAATAAAAGATTTAAGAGAACATCTGTGAACTTGAATTCATTATAATGCTATAAAATAAGCTCCAATAAAATTACTAATTGGAAACACTTGTGTCTGTATTTCATGGATTCAGCTCCAAGCAGTATTGCTTATCATAGAATGGTTAGGGTTGGAAGGGACCTCCAGAGCCCATCTARTCCAACYTCCCCACTCCAGCAGGGACATCTAGAGCACGGGGCACAGGGTGGCTGGATGCCACATGTCACATTAGCTTTATGTCACATCAGTTTTAGCAAAAAGTTTCCCTTCTAGACATATCTGATCTCTCACAGACTCCAACTAATTTCCCATTGCTGAAATAGTGCCTACTTATAAGCACAAGCAATATAAATTTTATTTTAGTAACAAGAGGAATCAAAAGGAAAAAGCAGACACCTGAACTACCACGGACAAGTTACTATTACAGAACAAGACTTTGTGGATCCCCTTTACTGCAAAGCACTTAGTTACACAATCGAAAAAGCCTTAGTTGWGTGGGGTTATTTCTGTTAGGGCAGGTTCATAAACATGAGCTGGATCACATAACTTTCTCTTTAATAAAAGACTAGAAGGCATGTCTGTGCCATTGCCCCTTACAATGTCCACAGTATTTCATAAGTTTGTGTGGAAAAGCAGGGTACAAGAATAAATAAATAGAGAAAAGGCCACAGAGCAGCTTACCTTTTAGGATACAGAGGAATAAAGACATCTTCCTCTACAGACTTCTTCATTCTTAGGACAACTGCATTTATCAAGTCCTGTTAAAGAGGAAAAGAGTTACTAAGGTCTCCCCACAGGGAAAGATTTCAGCTTTTGCTTACAGGATCAAGAGCCAAAACGTCCACTCAACTTCACGGCTTTGATGCTAGAGAAACACTAGATCTACATCAGAATAAAACCTGAATCAGGCTGGGAGAGTGCATCACACATCGACTTAATTGTACAAAAATAATTGTTAACGAGTACTAAAAGATTAGCAATCTTTTTCCTAGCTAATTAATATTGTTCTTTGGGGTTTTTAAAATAAAAAAATCTATAGAACAAAATAAGGAAGAATTGYCGTCTTCACTATTCTGGAACTAATTTATAAATTTAAAAAGCTGACCACTGGAGCATAACTTGAGCTAACTTAAGTTCAACTTCTGAAGAATACTTAAAGAGAAGTCTAAAATTTTTAAAGTTATTTCTGCAGGTGAGCAAGAGTAGGTCTTCATGAGATTTTTATCAGATACAGGAGCTGATTTCTGTCTAATGATAATGCTCAACCCCCTTCAGTAAGGATCATCTGAGAGATTAAAATTTAACTTTTGAATTTTCCTTGCTATAAAATGACAAAACAAATGAATAAACAGAACTAACAACTTCAGGACAAYGCTCTAAGTGCACAGAAGCAGCACGTACAGAAAGCATATGCAATGCACAAGGTCCATCCTTCTTTTCCTCCCCTACTCCTCCAGAACCACAGAGATTTTTACCTCTTTTGCTTGACTGCGTTCGTTTTTGGAGGAAACTTGCTTCTCAAAGATGCTACTGCAAAGCTGTACAAGGTTCTTGGTCTGTGCAGTAGATAAAGGATCCCAGACATTCCTTATAAACCCTGAAAAAAAATATATAGGAATTTGTGATCATGATGCACACAAATGGTTACCAGCTCTAGTTTCAAAGCATTAAACATTTACTTGTGTTGCATGCTAGAGAGGTCAATCTTCTCACAACAGTCTCATGTGTCTACGTTAGCCTCCTCACCCGGTGGAAGTGGGTRATCATTACATATTGGAATACTGTTCCAAATTATAACTACCACTACTTCCATGATGACTACCACTGTCTTGAAGGTTGGATTGTCACCTGCAGTGAACATTTGAGACAAACTTAACATACCTGTAATTTTTGGAAGAATTGTTTTTTCAATCACTCTAGGCAAGACTGTCTGATCAGGATCATCATCACCTTTTGATTCAGACAGATTTTTAGCATCACTGAATTCTTCTACAGCTCTGAACCAGGGCATCTCTTCCAACTCCATGAAATTCTGCTGAAAGATCATTACTATTAGCTGATCAGAACTGACWGAAACGCTCCACACAAAAATACATCCTACAACTCAATTTAAGGTGTAATGTAAGAAATTAACGCCTGAAAGTTATTTTGGCAACCACAGCTTTAAGGAACTTTCTTGCAGAAGAGTTGCAAGAGGGGCTTAGACTAAATAAGTTAAAAACAAAAAAATCCAGCCACATGCTAAAAATAATAAGAAGAAAACCTTAGAAAAACACAGTATCTTTTTATTGTTTTCCAATGCACTGTGCTACGCATAACTGAGAAAAAAACTACATCTGGTTTTAGTACTAGAACATAGGAAAAAAAAAGTGATTCATGYACAAAAAAGACAAGGAAAAAAACTTTCTTCTTTAGACAGGACACTTTTCTTATCTTTGGTTCCAGTAAGCCCATACTAGCCACGAAAAAAAGAGAAAAATTCCAGTGAAGACATCTTCACTGCAGACAGTGTTTCTCATGATATACAATTTAAATCGCCACCAATAACCACACATCTCACCCATTAAAGACACAAAAAAAAAAAGAAATAAAGAGAAAAAAAAAGGAAAAAGAAAAATACAGGTTTATGGAGATGGTTAAGGCCCATAACCAAAACAGACTTGGACTGCAGCACTTCTGAGTACTGCACTGAAACTGTAGGGCAGTAGTCAGCAATGCCACACAGGATTTTTGATTAAGATATATGCTGATGCACCTACCTCGAGAGGATTCCAGCTTATTAACTGAGCTCTGATTAGTGGATTTAAAAGCTTTGGTAGGCATAAGCTGATGTAAGCATCACAGTAGGAGTCGGGACACTTCTCTTTCCATTCCTGGAATTTCAACAGGATTTGCCCGACGTCAGAAAAATCTGCACGAACATCTTCAAAGATTTTCCTACTATCCTCTAAAATATCATCTGCAGATAACATTCATTGAGAAAACAAAAAAAAACCCAGCATTTACTGACATATAAGGTGAAGAACTTATGTGTCTACAGGTCATAGGAAATCTATACAATCACAGTTGTCATTTATCTTGTGCATGTTTAACAAACGAATTCTAAAATAGACTCCATGGAGAATTTGACTTCAGGAAGCAAAAAATAGATATTGGCACACAATCACAAAAATGCAAGTTTGTTCATGAACTATTCCACAGACTTATATGACCACCCATCTTTCAAGAATCATGATCTTTCTTTCAAGGTTTAGACCATGACTGCTATAATTTCAGACCTGAAAACCTTTCTGTTTTTTTCTATATAAAATATAATTTTAGAATCCAATTGTTTATGCCTTTTCCCCTCCTATTCAAGACAATAAAAAAAGACATCCTTTAATTTACTCTGTCCTTCAGAAAACAAACTGACTATACAAAATTCTTCAGGTGTTTTACAAGACAAATCTACATCAAATAATGGCAGACTAACTCTGGCATAATCTAGTAGAGTTTATTTCAGGTTATAACCAGGTATGAGCAATGCCACCACAACAAAAATCATACTGAAAAACCTACAACCATACATCTATACTTCCCCTCCAAGCCATTAATAGGAACTGTTTGAAAGCATTTATTTTTTATTGTGTAACTTAGACACAATTCAAATACAGTATTTTCTTCAACTTTTCTAAAGCTTTTTTTAAAAAGCAGAAAGAAGTTTTCTTCTTGTATACCAACCTTTTCTTTTCTGGAACTCAGTCATCTCTGGTGGAGGGAACTCATCATCACTGGACATACCTTCATGGTGATCAACTTTTCCCAAAGACACTCTCACTTGCTGTCTGCAAGTCCTGTGTTTGGAATGAAATCAGATTAGTTATCRTTCCCTATGTAGGTAAGCAGGAGAAAGTGTACTGAAAAATAATTTAGAGAAAAAAATGGATAAATAACAGGAAACCAATCTAAAATGGACATATCTTAGTTATGCTACATCTACAACTAAAGGTGCAGTAGTTACCTTCGGTGTTCACACGTTTGCAGAAGCTGAGTCTCTTTAGCATCTTCTAACTTGCCATTTGTTGGTTTGTCATTACTGTCTATCAAGAGACAAAAACACACACAAAAACAACAAAAGTTAACAATAATCAACTTAGCATATTTTCTTTCTATTGTTCATCATTTGGAAAACTGCCAAAGAAAAAATAAAACCTTATGATCAAAACTGTAAATTTCCAGTGTAAAGCAGAGTAAATATGTTATGATGCATCATAATCAGATGTGGTTCTTTCCTTATAGCACTTGGTAAGAGGCCCAAGTCCGCTGAGTCTGATGACATTACAATGCTCACCAGTGAGCATAAGTTTTTATGCAATGCTATAAAAATTTAGTACCTCACCTAATAGGTTCTTGGCAGAGCAAAAAGGCAGGTGTAAGGATTAGCGTTCCTTTAGCTTTTGAGTCCAAAATGAAATTTTACAAATTTGAACCAAATCCCAATGCTACTCTAACAATGTAAAGGATTGGAAAAACTCTGCTTCACATTTTCTCAGTCACAATATTTATATTAGATGACAAGTCAGCTCCCCACGATTACCACTGGGAAACAGTTTCCCATCAGCACTGTTTGCTGTGATTACATGACCTAAATTACTCCCAGCCTGATTCAGTCCAACAGAGAAATAAGCAGCAACAAACTTTGTTACGGGCATGCATTTGTAGCAGTATGAGCTGGTGATGTGCACTCAATATACAAAAGTGTGTTCTAATCCTTAAGTACTACAATAAAAAAATAGCATTTCCACTAATGTTAAATAATTCCACTAATGTTAAATAATTAAATAATGTTAAATAATGTTTCCAATAATGTTAAATATAATAAGGAAGGTAAATAACCAGGTAATTAAAATCTCTATTAATCACATAATCAAAATCTCATCTGCTAAGAGCTTGAAGTCATTTTGGCTATTACTYGGCTGTTAGCTTTGTCTGCTCAGTTAAAGAGGTCTTTATGTTTTAAGAGTTTTTTTAGCCCRTAGAATGGATTTTTGGTTTTTAAAATAAGAGCTACTAAAGATTTGCAGTGCATACAAACAATACATCAATGTGGAAGGAAAACAGGAGATCCTTCCCCTTTTCTTAACTCCGGTGAGGCCACATATGGACCACTGGGTTCACTTCTAGACTCCCCAACACAAAAAGGATTCTGCGTTTCACACAGAAAGAGTGAACATTTCAATAWGAAAAAGATTTTAATCTTTATACGAACTTGACAGATGCTGAATATAAGCAGATTCATTTCTCAGCTCATCGTGCCTTCGTTTCAGTAGTGCTCTGGCTCGCTGCTGAAGAAGTACGTGCATAGCCAGCTCTACCTCATTAATGTATTCCAGCTGAAATAGTGCAAACAGTAATTGATTTGTCAATTAATTAAAATCAAAAACAAAATAAACAAAAAAGTTTCCAGGGGAATTCCATACAGCAGTGAAATTACAAGTATCACAGACTGAAAATTAAACTCCTGCTCGTCAAGTTTTTCAGGCTGTTGTGCGTAACTGCAGAATACAAAAAACCTGCTTTGTGCTTATCATACAGCTACCTTAACACTTCACACAAAAGCATTCAACAGGTCACTAGTGATGGATTTACTTTGCTGGTTAAAATACAAAGAGCTGAAATAAGAGTCATTAGCTATAAAAGGAAATATTAATATTTATTCTCTAAGACTACAAAAGAAGACTGAAATAACAAACGCATTTTATTGCATTGCATTAACACAGCATAACAGGACTTCACTTTCACAAAGGGCACACTTCAGGCAGCTCCTCCCCGTCTCTGTGTGTTCCTCCTTCCATTTAAAGGAAAGATTTGCAACCCAGGAAGCAAACACAGCAAATAACAGAGAAGTATCCTCACACTATTCTAACTCAATCCCAACTTGATCCTAACATGAAATCYTCATTATTTCTTGTATGAAATACTGAATAAAAGCATATAAGACYATAGAAGTGAATGTAACCCTCTCTCCCCTCCAAATACAGCACAATCTGTTTATTATACCTGCAGGAAACTCCAGTCAGCACATACATACCTTTTCATTCAAACAGTTTATCAAGTTTTCTACATATGTTTTCATAGCCYGATAGAATTTGTAATTCAGGGACGCATTTGAAGACTTCTCTAATTCCTGGACAGACACCTTCGAACTTTCAACATCCTCCATGTATTTTTCATACTCTCTCTGGTGGGCACGGTGCACATCCTGCAATGATGTTATCCTAGAAGACAAAAATCGAGACTACTAAAGCTTCTGCCAAGTTCATAAACCCCACAGTGCCTTCCTAATCAAATAAACGGATAAAACTTTGCCTTTGCTAATAACAGTATTTGTACTGTAAAGAGTTGGCATATTTAACCACGCCAACATTTTCAGAAGGATGAGGTGTGGAAACAACATTGTGCTTCCAGGAATCAAATTTTTATGTGGCATTAGTATTACAAGAATCACTAATATTTTACCCAAGCGCCAAGTGACTGCACGATTTGATAGAGCCTGAAGCCTTTAACAGAACCATGCAGCAGATCACAGCTTGCTTTATTTGCTTTAAGTAGAGTTTGCAATGAAAATAGCTCAACTAAGACATTCTTCATGACATGACACCATGGTAAAAAGTTCTCTAGCACACCAGAAGTCAAAAAAAAAATATTTCATCAAGTTAAACAATTTTATAGAGTTTACTATTGTCAAGGAGGWTCTTTTCCCCTTCTTGCTGCTTTCCAAATATTATTCTACTCTGGGTAGTATTAATAGTTTCATTTTTCACACTTGTTCCTCTATTTAAATTTCTATTTCATTTAACTCATTCCCCTGTAGGCAATGATGGCAAAAAAATCCACAAAAATATTTAGTCCAGTTTAGTTCCACTTTTCTAAACAAGCAGGTTAGGGATATTTTGTACAAAGTAAAGCATCCACTGAGTTCTCTCTGGTAAGTCCACTGCGGGCATTTGTTTCAGCTKTCTAAGGTTACACGCCTAAACTTATCTAAACAGCTGCTTCTCACTGCTGAGAGAGGATGGACWGCTTACCTTGGGATGCCTGACCCCAGCTGTCCTTCTCACACAGCCTCTTGGAGGTCCACTCAAAAAAATCAAAGCAGGATCTAGTTTGCCTAAATAGGCTGCAGTGAATCCACTGCTGCTTTGGGGAAAGCTCAGGTATTTTTGCAGCTGGAATAAGAACCACCAGAAAAGACCTAGGATTACCAACTGCGAGACAGAAGTCCTTCAGCTGACCTGCTTTGAGTTTTATTTGATTRGCAAGCATAACATGGTGCCTACACTCGTGCTGCAACACTAGCAATTGTAGAAAGGTGCTGCCTTTCTACTTTTTAAAGCTCTATTTAATGAAAATAGGGCTAAGTGATAGAACATGAGAAATCCAAGTCCTCCTTAAACAAAGATACATAAGATATACTTTTTTTCATACAAGCATCACTAAGGTGCCATTGCCAGATAAAACTCAAAACTTGTATTATTCTATAGTACCGTAGTAGTGGACATTACAGCAAGCATACTGAATATGAAATAACTACCCAAGGATTTCTAATGTTCAAGGGAAGGGGAAAAAACTAGAGTAAAACTCAATTCATCTTTTCTTACTCTGTCACAAAATATAACCTTGGACAACTCAAAAATTAGGTTCACAGACACGGTATTTACCTTTCAGTCAGTCGCTTCTTTACAATGTCCAAGGTCACAGGAGGCAGAGAAACAGAAGGATCAAACCTTGGTTTGGCTGGTTTAGATTTATGCAGAGAAGCTTCATCGTAAGTACCCTACAAGAAGGAAACCTGTCAAACTTTTATCATTTTTACTTTTGCAGCTATCAAGACATATCATCTGAATATAAATAATATATTTTAATATGTATTCCATGATTATGCAACACAAAAGCAAAAAGCTTGATCATCATTTGTATACACTATAGAAAGCACCAAATAGTCCATGATATGGGTTATACTTAACACACGTTCCTCTTCTCAGCCCGAARACTTTCATAGTTAGCAAGGACACATAATCCTTCTCTACAGATAACTAAGACCTCATTAGTATCTTAATTAAAATATAAACATAGTATTAAGCTACTACCAAGTAGTAGTATCAAYAGTAGAAAGAGTAATCCCATTTTCTAAACATAAATATATAATTAATAAAATGGTTTCTTTACATTACATGTATTAATGCCACCATCTAGCATTTAATTCTGATCAAACAGCTCAACTATAAAGTACAACCAATTATAGCTCAAAAATTCCCAAAACATTCTACGTTCTAGAACAGATTAGTAGTAAATCAAAATCTTGGCCGAAAACACTCAACTGAATCAATCAAGTCCATGACTAACAAGGTCTTCTACTATTTCCTGAACAGGAGAAATTAAGGCTCTCACAGAAACAAGCGCAGGATGAAGATCCTCAACTAGTTGAGGACTCAATCTTATTGGATTTTAAGTTCAGCAACAAGATGATGCAACTTTCTCCCACTTCTCTAACTACTCCAGTTTTACAGGATGCCTTTTTCTCAGTGACACACTACACTGAAAAGAACTGATTAGGCAGATTTTCCTGTTTGACAAAACTGCAGAATCTTAACAAAATAAATAAATGACATGATGAATGAAATGACATGACAAAATCCTGCAGAACCCTAAGAAGGGGCCCTCAGAGACTGTCACCCAGAGATTCAGTACAATAAAATCCTCAGTTTTGTTTTGCATCATGTAAGCGTGAGTGTTATCTGCTTATTTTTACTTTCCAGATCCCTTGCATGACTGTGAAAAATCAGGTAAAGTTTGATTCTCCATTTTTTTCCAGGGAGTTTTCCTTTGAAGCAGACAATACCATCTCCTTTCTAAGTACCTAGATGAAAAAGGAGAAATTTCCAGTATCACCTTCCCTTTTTTCTMATCTCCTCTCTTCCTTCAAGAGTCAGCACATAAATTCCTCAAAACCTCTCCAATTAGAAGACAGAAGATATGGTGGCACACCACAACAAGCTCTCTTSCCTAAGAGCAAAAGGTAATATGCAATGGTCAGGAAAGATCACCTGAGAAAGTTTGACAGCTTTCTTTATCTGYTGCTCTTCCCACCTGATTTGCATTTCATCTTCACTTGATCCATCATCCACAGACACTGGTAAGTTAAAAAATAAAATTAAATTAAGTAARCATTATTACCTGTAACTGTATCTTGTTTTTCCCTCCCATACTCTTCTCCCTCAAAAGCAATAATGGTTTCTGTAGCCATTGCTAGGAAGCACCAAGTGCACAAAAAAGAAAAGCAGTTGAAGAAACTACAGATGAAAGATTCCCTAACTGAATGGTAAGRAATATACCAGGAAATGGCTTTTGGAATTCCTAATATTGGCATCAATGTTGAGTTCCCCAAYATACTGATTCTCAGACAACTACTACTGCAGTAACAATAAATAAGATTTTTATGCTTCCACTAGAAGCATTTCATTTCTCAAATTTTTATATAATATGTATAAATAAAAGTACAGTTCTGTTGCACAGCAACTTTAAGAACATCCATAACATCCATGAAGARAGAGCACCGAGAAGATCAAACATTAAGACGCAGGAGAAAAATTTTAGAAAACTTTCTGAAGAGAGACAGTCTTGTATCACAGCAATTTTTTGAACATTGCATGCTGTCTTCCTACAAGACATGCTACTTGTAGCCAATACCACCAAAAAGTCACATGAAGAAGTTCTCTCAAATCATCTAGTACCCCAGTACCCCCCACCTAACCCAAGTTCTGCTTGGGCATAAACCTTGAGCACCTTCTGCCAAGGTCCCCGAGGAGCAGGACATTATGGTGTGTTATCAACAACATTCTTGACAGTATTATTAAAACAAAGTGACAAACACCAGTAGTAACAGCACAAACTCACCTAGGTGTTCAGCCATCCTCTGTCTAAGAGTTCTTGCTTTAGGAGCAAAATTGAGATGATGCATATCAGTGTCATCTTCGCTCTCTAAATCAGAGCTTGCTCTTCGCTGAGACACATGTTGATTGTTCAAAACATGCAAGGGCAGATAATCAGCTTGGGTCCTGGCTAAGTGACSCTTCCTTCGAGCAGCCTCAATGCTACCTGCATCAGGGATATTGCCTGGATCAAAGAAAGAAAAATCTAAGCAAAAGACGAAAACCAACACACACATTGCTCCTAATGACCACAATCACTATAACAAGCTCATTGTTTAATTTTGAGCATGAGACACCCAAGATATTTTTCTGTGAAACGCAAAATAACTTTAGGATCAAACAAAGAAGTGACTCTGCCTTTAATGCCTTTGTTTCTCTTTAAACAGTTCTGCAGCTGAGCCTTCTCTAGTAGAGGCATTTTTTTCTTATTCCCATGTTCTCCTGCTTCTTATGTTCTTTCTCTTCAATACAGTGCTTTTACTTTCTTTCATGAAGTTATTCCAAATCACATGGCTAGGGCAGAATATCATGCTTGATAATTTTGATAAAAAACCTAAATGTTATGTGAAGAGAATTCATCTCCTCTAAATTTAGCCAGTTACTAGCCAGTAACGTAAACAACTTTATAATCAATCCCCCCGAAAAGGCTAGGGAATTCAACTTATCCTTATAGGAATGTCAAAACACATACAAGGAAATGCTCCTTGGGTGTGAAACTGCCACTTTGTTTTCAGATGAGAAACAGCCTTTACATGACTCAAGTTGAGTGGGTTCCATCTCAACCATCTTGTTATATATTTCAAATGAAAAACGTTCTACAAATACTTAAAAAAAAAAAAAAAGCCCAGAACTAAACCTGCTGATAAATGCTTCCTTCTCTCTGAAGGGCTGGACTCACTTTCTGAGTCTGAGCTGTTGTTGCCATCCTCGCTAAGGGAAGAATGAGTCTCATCTTCCTCCTCTTCTTCGGGAGGAACTTCAGTGTCATCAGCTTCTGTATGAAAGAAAAAAACAGACGTGATTTCTTCATCAGCGGCCATAAGGCAATGTATCAAAACTGGTTATTAGTAGCTACCTAGACCATAACGCAAACACTAGTTGCTTGTCTACCTCTACCTGCCCTAATCAAAACACATTAAGTCTTCCCACGTTCCGAGTTCACTGTTCATGAGTCAGGAATGTGTGTTCGATCTAAACATGTACAATCTTCTGAGAGACAGGGCACATACACCCTGAGCACAATCACAAGCACAGAAACAGCTACACAAGCTATTAGATCACACCTAACACTCTGATAGCTCACAGTCTGTTTGGTTCATCTCTTGACTTTGTGAATTTTATTTAGAAGCTATTTTTAATATGAAGCCTGCTTCCTAAGGMTCACATTAAAATGTCATCTGCATGCTAGTGTTTTATATTTACTTGTCTTCAATTAGCTTAAAAAATTTTTATCCAAAAAAAAAAAAAAAAAAGTGTTTTTGTCTGCTACTATATCTTTAATAAGTCATCAGCTTACTAAACACAATGCAGTGTTCATTGAAACAAAGTTTGACTTACACTTTTGTAAGAATTCATGGCAGGGGCGGATATTTAGTAGGAGGACAACAGGTTTATATATAACATGCACACACACCTGATCCAAATCACAATCTCTTACAGAAAATATTTCCGATCTCAAGATAGTTTATATTACTTTATGCACTTTTTCTTCATGGTTAATTAATAAATAAAAGACACCTAACAGCAACAGTTGCATAACATTCCCATTTAACAATTTCAAAATAGTTTTCATGTAACCAATCAAGAAAATTCCTTTTAATTGAAATACTTACTTTTGCTTTCCTCAATTTCTCTCTCTGGGGACGGCAGACTTTCCTTCTTTTGAATCCTGAAAGTCACTTCACTGAAGGATGGCTTTTTAATTTTGAAGAGCTCTTCATCATCTATCCACATTAAAGAAAAATGATTCAGTTAATGTTTTTGAAAAGGAAAGCCACATAATTCAGACATTTAGTTTTCTTTCTGTGATTTATATAGTGTCCACAGCATACAAGGGTCTCTCCTCACCCCTCCCTTTTAAGACCATTGGGGCCTGAGGGCAGAGACGCCACCCCGCGGCTGGTGAGCTCGCTCGCTCCCCAGGGGCAGGCGTTGCTCCCCGCTCACCTTCCCGCTCCTCCTCGCCGCCGAAGCTGAGCAAAGCCCTCCCGGCGAGGCGCGGCCCTCGCGCCCCGGCCGCCTCTCCGCCTTGGCCCGCGGGGCTGCCCGGCGGCTCCCGCGGCGGTGACGGGCCGGGCTCCTCCTCAGACTCCGCTCCCTGCTCCGAGTCGCTGCCGGGGACAGGCGGCGGCGGCAGCTCCTGCTCCTCCTCGTCGCTGCCATCGCTAAACGCCGCACGCCGCCGTGCGCGGAAGTTCCGCGGGGGGCGCCGGAACATGGCGCCGGTAACGGCCGGCAACGGCCGCGGCGCCTCCTTAGCGCGCATGCGCAGCGCCCCCTCCCGGGGCGCCTCGCCCGCCCGCAGGTGGGCGGAGCTAGGGGCGGCTGACCAATGAGGTGAAGGGGCGGGTCCTCGCGGTTAACCCCTAAGGGGAGGAGGAGGGGCTGGTGTGTGGCGGTTGCGTCATGCATGGGTTAATTCCTGACGTTTTATGTTTGTGTTTTTTCCCCTTCCTTTCTGCGGCTCTTTAGTGCTGACTTGAGCTGTGCTGGATGAGATGTGTGTAAAAGAAGTTACCAATGAAACCACAAGTCCTGCAAGGAAGGTCATGGTGTCCYGAGAGAAGCATCCACAACCAGGGGACATTTGAAGTGTTTTTGCTTAACTTGTCCTCCACGCTGTCCTCCATCTGCGAGCTGAAGTGATAATATTAACTTGCCTCAGGGATCCTGTGAGGAAAAGTGCATTTTGTGAAGCACTCAGTAGTATTAGAAAAAAAAAAAACAGGATTTTTCTGTTCAGCATAGGTTCTGAGGGAGAGGTATTAAATAAAGCCCAAGGGTGAATAATGAGGAATATAAAAGCTCTAGATTACCCTGTGCGCACCACCCATCTTCACTGAAGAACCTTGAGGGTCTTGTTGAAGAAATGAAGTCWTTCCACAAGTAATTACAACTAAAGGTTTGGGGCTAGAAAGTCAGGTTGTAGGCACTGGCTCAAGGAGGTCCTATGGCTGTAAATACATCTGCTTTCCCTATGGGACATCTCCAATGGAGGGATGAAGTCAAAGAAAGGTTGAAAATGCCCATGTGTATTTAGAGTAGATGTAGATCTTATGAGTTCTCCCAAAGACCTTTTATTACTCTGTTTTTATAGTCGTGACCAAGCTCCTTTTCTTTGCTGTGACACTACTGAAATCTTCAGTAAAACTTCCCCCTTTCCATCTAATTTTAAATCCTCCCATATAGGCAGCCCCGTGAGTGGTACCTATGCAGGACAGAGCTAGTCTTCCATAAAACGAAGTCATCTAGGATTTTGCTTATCAAACAGGACAGAAATGTTGCACATTCCGTATTTCTAGCACATGGAACTGCCTTGTTTGTAGTTGTCATTCAAGTGGATATGACTGCAGAGTGCCAAGATATTAACGAAGACAGCAGCATCTCATCAAGATGACCCTCCAGAGGGAAGGCAAATTCAGCAGCAGCAAAGCAGCAGAATATCACTTTGGAWGGGATGCCAGTGCCCTGTGCCAGCCACCTTCCATTATTAAGCAATGAAAGCCTGTGTCCTGACACTGCTTGACCACAGAAAAGATAATTTTGCCTTAAACCATTTAGCGTTGAAGAAGTAAGGGAAATAGAGAGATAGATGAGGTCACTATTTGAAGGCACTGCAGTGATTTTAATTTCTCCAAACCCACTTCATATCTGCTCCTGTTATCGCTGTGGTGGATAATAAAATCCAGCAGAGCAGCAGGCAAGCAGAGGAGGGCAGTAGCACCACAAATTGTCTGCATTGCATCTGGCAGGCAAGAGTTCCTCTAATACAGAGCTTTTGAGTATTAATCATAYGTATACTTTACTCTCTCACAAAGTTTTGTCTCATATCTGTATCACAGCACTTACTGTCTCTATAGCATGCTTGTATCTTTACAATAATTTGAAAATCTGGTAAACTTCCAATTCACAGCAAAACGCAAAATGTTGCAGCACTGATATGATTTATTTCAAAAATGATTCATACCTCATTTATCCTTTAAAAGCAAMTTGGGGCATTTCATTGTAGTGAAACATATGAGTAAAGAAACAATTACCTTTGGAAACAATTTGCAGGCCTGACTTTCCAAGGTATTATTTAGTAGCTATAGCATATGGATTACAAATTGCAACAAATAACCTTGCTTAACACCACTGAYGTGTTACTGTCAGCACCTTGAACCTGCAAAATTCATGTGTGTTTTGTATGTGTCTGATTCCTGTGCTATACTTGGCAAATTTTATTTCCCAAATTTCAGTCTATATGAGTCAATGCTGCCATCACATCTCATTCTGGCCTGCCTGGAAATCTGCTTTATCTTTACACAGTTATTTTATAAATCTCAAAATAATTTCAGTGTGATTGGCCAAAGGAGCTTTGGTCTTTTGCTCCTGTACTTTGAACAAGCACAATCTATCCTTCCCTCCCCTGCAAAATAATATTTGTCCTTGGCAGGGAATAGAGTTGGGACATGAACTTTTATTTTATAGAGATATTAACTAGCATAAAATCCTGCACACTAATACAGTAACTTGTAACATTTGTTGTTTTAGAATTGTGTAGGTTTCTGGTTCAGAATTCAAAAGAAGATCTCTCAAAAATACTATTTTTGATGCCATATGTGTTTTGTTACTTGTATGCTTTTTTGATAACTATTACTCAGAATCAACATCAGAAATGCACCACCTCTGTTGTGCTAGGTGTAAATATTAACTTGTCCCTTGGTTTATCCCATTGTGTTACCTGTGTCCAGGCTTAAATACAGACCTAAGCTGAAGAAGCTATCAAAGATTTGCTCAGAAGGAAGAAAACATTTGAACGCTTTGGTGTATAAATATTGCAGCATTAAGTGGCAGCTCATCTTAGCTGAGGGGAGAAGGAGGAGGCTTGGAAAAAAAAAAAAGGGCGCGTGAATGACAATATTTATTCAAATAAAGGGGCAGAGCCTCTCATTCATCAGAGAGGTGTGGCTGGTGAATAAGTTTTAAATAGCTAGGACAACAAGGCGGACTTTCCAGTTTAGGAAATGTTTCCCATTAGCAAGAGACCACGAGTAGCATGGATGCAATTACTGTTTTTTGACCATTCAGAAGTAGTTGTCACTTTATTGAACGTTTCTCGATCCTTGATTGGTAATTATTCACAAAATATGGTTTATTCTTGGCAGCAATTGGTTCCTGATGTTTAAAAACTGTATTCTTTGCTTAACTTCCAATGTTTTCACCATGTGCTTGAAGAGATATCCCTAACTTAGACCCTGCGTGCTCAGAGAGTTTGGACTGGAAGCACAAAGCATTAGTGTCTGGTCTGTCTTCCAGCAGCACTGCAGAGAAAATATGTGGTATTTTCAAATAACTGGAAAAAAAAAAAAAAGGTCATGTTTTCTTCTGCCGAGTTCAGACTGAACGACATTCATGATCTTTTGCTACCAGTGAAGATCTTCCCTGACTACAGAATGCAAAATGGTTTTTAACTGGGAATTGATGCCAGAGTACATGTAACACTGTGCATTGTAACAGAGTACATTATACAGTGTTAAAATGATAATAAAAATTCTGTTTTCAACATTTCTAGCTTACCCATCTTCAGAACTGTTGGTAGATTTTCAGCAGGTTGTTTTAGGCTCAGATGTTGCAAGAGAAGTACTTGCGGAAAAGGAAGCAATAACACAGCAGTACTAAAGGTTGAGGTATTGCTTATACTAAACCCTACTTCTCCTTTTCTGATTCTGTTCCACATTTCATCTAATTGGCCTCTTCTTGGTTGCTGTAACCCTGCCCCTATGTCTGGAGCAACTCATATCCTACCACTGGTTTCTTCTCCTTACAGCTCTCGTTAGTATTACTCATCAGTTATTATTAAGTAATTTCCCTAACCTTAATGGCTTTCTTCACAAGCAAATTAATTCCTGCAGTTCCAGCCTCCTGGAGCCTCCAGGAGAATATCTGTAGTATGGGGTGCTGTTCTGGGCTCCACAGTACAAGAGGAACATGGACCTTCTGGAGAGGGTCCAGCGGAGGGCAACAAAGATGATTAAGGGCCTGGAGTATCTCTTATATGATTAAAGACTAAACAAGCTGGGCCTGTTTAGCCTAAGGAAGAGAAGGCTGAGAGGGGATCTGATCAATATRTATAAGTACCTGAAGGGAGAATGTATGGAGGAAAGGGCCAAGCTCTTCTCAGTGGTGGCCAGAGACAGGACAAGGGGCAGTGGGTACAAGCTGCAACACAGGCARTTCCATCTCCATGTGAGGAGGGACTTCTTTCCAGTGAGGGTGACAGAGGCCTGGAACAGGCTGCCMAGGGAGGTTGTGGAGTCTCCTTCTCTGGAGATCTTCCAAACCYRCCTGGATGCCACCCTGTGCCCCGTGCTCTGGGTGTCCCTGCTGGAGCAGGGGGGGTTGGACTAGATGATCTCTGAAGGTCCCTTCCAACCTGAACCATTCTGTGATTCTGTTTAAGCTTGCMAAAAGCACCTCACCCCCCAAGCCTTCATATATCCAAAGGCAGAGTCTATAACAGGACTTCTAGAAATTCCACCTTCATCAAAGTAGACTATTTTAGTTCTAAACATGCTTAATAATACTTTYTGTTTTGCTTCAAACATCACTGACAAAATCTCTTTGTCATCTCCATTTAGGGAATTAAGAGTTACTTCAGATCTACTTAAAGGTTGCACTTTTCTCACATTAAACTTTGGATGCCTACAAGCTCTAGTTACAAAAAATAATTGCGGGACTGCTACATGCAGGTGTGTCTTCACAGAAGTCCTGTTCTTCTTCCTGCTAATTAATTTTACAGACATTTACTGTTCTAATACTTCTGAGTAGTTTTGCTTGTTTGTGACAGTGTAGATGAAACAGCCTTTTTTTTTTTTTTTTTTTTTTTTCCTAGAGTAAGAACACATAAAGCTTTTTAGTGATAATTCCTCACACACAGTTTTCTCTTTGTGGTCTCAGCTGAATTGTGCTTCATTCCCTACTTCTCCCTTCCCAGGAAATGTGGCTCATTTTACTTTAGGTTTTCATGGTTTAAATTTTCTGTCATAGGGAAGGTACTAGGCAACATTTGCAGTTATCTCGACATGAGCTACACTGCTGCTTCTYTGTAGGCATCTTACACAACAACAACATGGATGCATCCTCCCCCATCTGTCCTATTTATGTAATCAAGGGGGATGTTTAACAATAAGAACATAAAACTCATAACCAGTAGTTGTGAACACTGTTAGGCACCAC